GGCCCTGGTGTGAACCTAGCCTTACAGTTCACCACCAGACCAAAAAGTAATGAATAATCCTACAATTGGGACACCTGTTCCTATGACAGCTCTCTAAAATGGGAAATCCATTCAGTTTGGAGAGATTTCCTCTTGTGCATCCAGGACAGGAAGTTAACGAAAACCTCCTCAGCAGGACATAGGCAACAAAAAATCACGTGACAAGGGTTTAACCTCTCCCAACTCCAAGAATAAAAAACAGTATGATTTTTCATTGGCATGTCACCATCAGTGGTGCAGGGGGGCTTGGACAAGTCCGCACACAGATGCACACACAAGTGCAGACACAGAGTAAAATATCTGGGTGTCTGGTCAGCTAATTTTCATATTTTTTCTCCCAGATTAAGAAACTGAAATGTAATTAATAGATTCTATTTAGAAATCAGACCTCAAAATTGTGAAAAAATTAACTGCAGATCGCAAAAATAATTTTATTTTACCCAGCGACTGTCACGACACTACTAGCCATATAGAGCAAGGTGCAAAAAGTTACTGCGTGCAGGAATCTACTGGAACCATTCATTAGAAGGCGCACGCTGGATTCTGATTGGTTACTGCACATGCTTTCTGTCTGCACAATGACGATTAATGCATTCGTTTTCAGCTTCAGGCAAAGTCCTTTCACATAAAAAAACGTATCATAGGATGGGATTGATCCTGAGATTCTTACCGAGGAAGGAAACTTCAGCTGCATGAAAGCCTGGAATATCAAAGATAGGATTGGGTTTTTTTTTATTTGTCAAAGTATTTAAAAGTTTTCCAGAAAATGAATGATGGAATAATTATAAGAATATGCAGAAATTAACAAATATACCAATTATTTTTTTATACACTCGGATTCAGAACTGGGGAATCTCAGTTAAAGGCGAACTCTGGGATTGTTATAAAAACCACCCTTGCAGTGGACAGCACAGGTACCCACTGCAAGGGGTGTTTTCTTCTGCCGTGAGTAGGCTTCACGTTTGCATTCACACTTGTCTAGTGCATGACTGTACACAAAATCACATGATTTTAAGAAGGTTCACAATGCGCTTGCAGTGTCGTAATCTGTGGTGCAGCTGCAAGATGTGCGCAAAGCTAAAAAAAATACAGTGGAATAATTTTTTTTAACTCAATGGGGGAGATTTACTAAAACTGGAGAACTCAGAATCTGGTGCAGCTGTGCCAAGTAGCCAATCAGCTTCTAACTTCAGCTGGTTCAGTTAATGTGTTACTAAACCCAGGACCCTGCATTCACTCTGTCTGGTCTCCCACAGTACACAGAACCCGGAAATGCAATTATTTTAATAAATATTAACTGCTAAATGCCTTTTCTCATTAGCAGTATATAGCATTCTTGTGACTTCTATCAGTGTCCAGCTGAACACTGGTTAAAGCTTGTAGGAGGCGTTTTCCTCTCCTCTGACTGTCCTATGAGGCTGCATAACCCCTGACCCTCTGTCTGGACAGTGCTGATTGGCTCTGTGCTGATCACATGTACTGTCCCAAAAAAACAAACAAAAAAACAACTCTCTAGCAACACACACTAAACTGAGCATGTGCAAAGTGACTTCTAAAACTCTCAGCACACTCAGTACTATCAGCAGATGGATTGGGGACGGTAGAACAAGGGGAGGATCAGAGAAGAAATGATCAAACAGCCTTTTTATGCGAAGGATACACCCCTTGGGTTCCACAGTGAGTATAACAAGCAGGGGCGGACTGACCATTTGGAAATTCGGGGACCACCCGAAGGCCCGGGGTCAGTAGGGGGCCTCATGAGATGACATTAAGATGCGACGTTCATGCGACTTTTAGGAGTTTACATTGCAGTTAATGGCACTCAAGTTGCATGAAAGTCACATCAAAGTAGTGAAGGAACCTTTTTAAAGCTGCAGTGACTAAGTCACACATGTATGAACGGCTGTCATTAGAAAACATAGGCTGTGACATGTCATGCAACTCATGCATGTCCAAAGTCGCATGACAAGTTGCACAAGTGTGTATGGAGACTTTACAACAGGAGGAGTGCTGGCATATACTATTCATAGGACATGGAATTGCATGGAGGGGGGGGGGGGGTCTGAAAAGTCCTTCTGATGATGAACGTATATGTTAAGTGACCAACAAGTTAAACCCTAACTCAAAAGAACCCTTTTTAAAGTGGAACTTCACTATCCCAATCAACACTGGCTACTATGTTTAATCCTTATGATTATAGCATTAGTACACAGGAAAGTGTATCATTTGTGCTTGTTTTAAAACTTTTTTGGTTTTTCAGTTACTTCCTGGTTTCTTGCCTAGGCAAATGATGTCGTATATCCCAGGAGCAGGGGCGGACTGACCATTTGGAAACTTGGGCACTGTCAGTAGGGGGCCCCATGAGATGCCCCTGGTACCTTTTTCATAGGCTTTTTTGAGTTTGGGCAAGGACACAGGGGCCCCATGATCCCCAATTGCCCGGGGGCCCCATGAGTTGTCAGTCCGCCCCTGATAACAAGCATGCTTTTTGCATATACAGACTGATTTTACTGTTGTGGGTTTAGTAACACTTCAAGTTTTGACAAAATCTGGCAGCTGATCGCTTTCTATGCACCAGACTTTGCACTCTCCAGATTTAGTAAATCTCCCCCTATTTACACATGTTTCATTTTGTATGCTTTGTCTATTGCAGCCAACATCCTTGGCATCATTGACCGTTTTGTCAAGTTCCCGTAGCTGTACATGTCCCAGCTGAAGATAATCACCCTTCTCTTTTAATCCTGGTGACCACCATCACTGAAAGAAGTAAAAAACCTAAATTTGAGCTCTCTTGCAAGCAAGAGGTGGAAATCTTCCAAAAGGTACAGAAGTTTTGGTGACAACAGTGTAAAATGGGAATTCCCCTCACTTTGGGGAGATTTCCTATCATTTCCTTTTGTACTTCCAAGACAGGAAGAGAAGGGAAAGCTCCCCAGCAGGACACAGCGAAAAATAATCTGAAAAGGGTTTTAACTCTGTACTTTATCCAAAAAACTTTAAAACAATGTTTTCACTATACGTACAGTACGCTTTAATTTAGGTTTCTAAGTTTCATGTCATGTATGGAAGCTTTGGTTCTTCAAGCTCTCTAGTGCAGTGGTTCTCAACCGTCCTAATGCCGCGACCCTTTAATACAGTTCCTCATGTTGTGGTGACCCCCAATCATAAAGTTATTTTCGTTGCTACTTCATAACTGTCGGGGGAAGGGGAATAGTGCCCCATCAATGGTGTCAGTGGGGGGAGGGATAGTGCCCCATCGTTGGTGTCAGTAGAGGGAGGGATAGTGACCCATCGTTGGTGTCAGTAGGGGGAGGGATAGTGCCCCATCGTTGGTGTCAGTGGGGGGAGGGATAGTGACCCATCGTTGGTGTCAGTGGGGGGAGGGATAGTGACCCATCGTTGGTGTCAGTGGGGGGAGGGATAGTGACCCATCGTTGGTGTCAGTGGGGGGAGGGATAGTGACCCATCGTTGGTGTCAGTGGGGGGAGGGATAGTGACCCATCGTTGGTGTCAGTGGGGGGAGGGATAGTGACCCATCGTTGGTGTCAGTGGGGGGAGGGATAATGACCCATCGTTGGTGTCAGTGGGGGGAGGGATAGTGCCCATCGTTGGTGTCAGTGGGGGGGAGGGATAGTGACCCATCGTTGGTGTCAGTGGGGGGAGGGATAGTGACCCATCGTTGGTGTCAGTGGGGGGAGGGATAGTGACCCATCGTTGGTATCAGTGGGGGGAGGGATAGTGACCCATCGTTGGTGTCAGTGGGGGGAGGGATAGTGACCCATCGTTGGTGTCAGTGGGGGGAGGGATAGTGACCCATCGTTGGTGTCAGTGGGGGGAGGGATAGTGACCCATCGTTGGTATCAGTGGGGGGAGGGATAGTGACCCATCGTTGGTATCAGTGGGGGGAGGGATAGTGACCCATCGTTGGTATCAGTGGGGGGGGGGAGGGATAGTGACCCATTGTTGGTGTCAGTAGGGGGGGGAGAGGAATAGTGCCCCATTGTTGGTGTTAGGGAGGGGGGGGGGAAATAGTGCCCCATCATTGGTGTCAGTGGGTGGAATAGTGCCCCATCATTGGTATTAGTAACACCAATGATGGGGCATTATTCCTCCCACTGACACCAGTGATACTTACCTTGCTGACTCCTGCTCCAGCCTGGGCTTGCTCCCTCCCTCTCCCATCTACAGCCAGCATACCTGGCTACAGCAGCACCATCTGCACGCTACAGACACTTACCTGTCAGATGTCTTCCTTCTCCGGCTGCTCTCCTCCTCTTCACTCGTTCTGGCAGCTCCCTCACTCGATCTTCTTTGATCTTTGCGCTGACGCTCAGCTCCTCCTCTTCAGGCTCCACCTTCTCACCAGTGATTGGCAGCCTGTGTGCCTCTCCTGAGCAACAGTTACAGCGGCCAATCACCGGCAAGGAGGCGGAACTGGTGAGTGATCCCGGGGGTGTGGCCAGATGACAGGAGCGGCATGTCATCCCGCCCACACATCATGGCCCAGGGAAATGAAGACACCGGACCCGCTGACCGGACAACCTTTCTACCCCTCCTCCAGCAGCGTGTGTTTTCTGATGGTCTTAGGCGACCCCTGTGAAAGGGTCGTTCGCCCCCCAAAGGGGTCGCGACCCACAGATTGAGAACTGCTGCTCTAGTGTCTTGGGATGAGCCTGCAGCTCCATGTAGCTCAGACAGCAAGGGGCCTACAAACGGGGGGCTCACAACATTCATGTGGCTCAAACATTTGTGTTCCCAGAGCTAAATTACCATCAAAACAACAATTAGGTGGCCTGGTACATGCACCTAGGTCTGGATGAAAAGACTCCATCCCATCTATTTTTCAGTACTTCATCTTTATATCTGACCAGTCTATTGATGTTAGAGACCTCAAGCCCTGCCTACCAGGTCAGATTCCCTACCCAACACCAAGGAGAACAAAGGCCACAATGGATGCTTACCCGACTAGATGTCTCTAACAAATACTGGAATGTGTTCTGGACAGCTTGACACGTCTCCAGCTCCGTCCGGTTGAACGCCATGAGGTAATCCTTTAGGTGGTCATATACGTTGCCGTCAAGTGTCTGCAAGGAAACACAAGACAACAATGAATCAGTCATTTCGAACTGTCCATAATTTCCAGATGTGTTCCTGGATTTAGCAAATTTGCCCCAATGTCTGTCCTTGTAACTGTTCCTCATTTAGACTGGAGGCATATTTTTGAGATTCTTTGTGGTGCGGTAATGCGTGTTATATAAAAGCTGGAGTCTAGTATGGCTATTTTTGCATAGCTACATTGGTTCAGCTTGGGCCAATGTGATTATGTATGTGTCATACTTGGAGGATTTCCAGGGAGGCTTGAAATCACTGTAGTAGACACCGCTACTACAGCCAGTCCTGTGCCAAGTGGCTCCCCTTTCTGCATCGTCAACACAGGAGGTGGCTCCATTTACAGAATGCCTTGAATTTTTCTCAATGAATACAAGGCATTCACTGATTGGACAAGGTGGAGATCGTGATGTCACCACCCCGACTATCCACCTTGCCCAAGCTGAGAATGCTTTGCCCTCGTTGAGAAAATGCGATTGTTCTCTGAATGGCGCCCATGCTAAGCGAATGACCTCCTGTGTTCAATATAGGAGGAAAGCCTCACGGCACGGGACCTGGAAGCCAGCGACGATCACTGTAGTAGTGTGCCTATTACAATGACTTCCATTTTCCACAGGAAATGGCTAGGTATGACACATACATTAGTCCAAGCTGGGCCAATGTAACTATGCAAAAAAACAAAACAAAAAGACATATTAAACTTCAACTTTAAATCAGAAGGCAAAGCTTTTTCATTTCTTGTTGGATAGAGTAAGGGAGGGTTATAACTCCCGTCTTTTTTTGCTCTCTGTGTCCCATTGTGGATATTTTCCTTCACTTCCTGCCCTATTGCTAAAACAGGAAGTGAGAGGAAATCCCTACAAAGTGAGGGAATCCCTAATTGTCACCAGAACTAGTGTCCCCATTGGAAGATATTCCTGTTCTGGTAGCAACCCAAAATTTGTGATTTTCTTTCCTTTTGGTGATAATGGAAAACATGACAAATACAGAGAGTACATCTCCCTAACGGACACAGACCACAAAAAAAATTGACAGGGATCCTAATCCCTCTCCACTCTATGCAAACCGAAAAAAAAAAAAAAAATTTGACCTTTAATTATACTTTTGGATAGAGTGGAGAGGGAATAGAGCAACTGACAGGTTTCTACCCTCTCCATTTGTCATGTTTACAGATATCATCAAAAGTGAAAGTAAAAGAAAATCTGAAATGTTTGGGTTGTCCCCAGAATAGTAATAGATGGGAAATCTTCCAATGGGGACGCTAGTTCTGGTGACATGGGTTATAACCCTCCCTTACTCTATCCAAAATGAAAAAAAGTTTTGCCTATAGTTCCACATTAAGGCTTCCAGTTCATTTTGAATGGGTCGCCAATATTTTTGGCGATTCAGAGAACAACGCAGGTTAAGTGCATTGTGGTGTCCTGCGGTGCATTGCCCTCTGCTGTACATTGTATTGTGATGCTGTTCACAATGAACGGCACTGCACATAAAGCAAGGTGCCCATCAGTAACATGCACGTTTTAAGTGTTACTAAACCAGGACCCTGCATTCACTATATCCGCTCTCATAGGACCCTGCATTCACTAACATCACTATATCCGCTCTCACAGGACCCTGCAGTCACTATTTGGTCTCCCAGGACCCCGCATTCACATCAAAGTGCATTACTATATCTGGTCTCCCCCGGAGGACCCTGCATTTCACTATATCTGGTCTCCCCGGACCCCGCATTCACTATATCTGGTCTCCCCGGATTCACTATATCTGGTCTCCCCGGACCCTGCATTCGCTATATCTGGTCCCCCCGCATTCACTATATCTGGTCTCCCCCAGGACCCTGCATTCACTATATCTGGTCTCCCAGGACCCTGCATTTACTCCCTCCCAGGACCCTGCAGTTCACTATATCTGGTCTCCCCGGACCCCCCGCATTCATTCACTATATCTGGTCTCTGGTCTCCCGGACCCTGCATTCACTATATCTGGTCTCCCCGGACCCCGCATTCACTATATCTGGTCTCCCGGACCCCGCACCCCCGGTCTGTTCTCCCCGGACCCCGCATTTCATATATCTGGTCTCCCCGGACCCCACCCTGCATATCTCACTATATCTGGTCTCCCAGGACCCTGCATTCACTATATCTGGTCTCCCAGGACCCTGCATTCACTATATCTGGTCTTCACTATATCCCGGGACCCTGCATTCACTATATCTGGTCTCCCAGGACCCTGCACTTTCCCCGTCACCCCGGACCCCGCATATATGGTCTCCCCCGGACCCTGCATTCACTATATCTGGTCTCCCCGGACCCCGCATTCACTATATCTGGTCTCCCCGGACCCCGCATTCACTATATCTGGTCTCCCAGGACCCTGCATTCACTATATCTGGTCTCCCTGGACCCTGCATTCACTATATCTTGTCTCCCCGGACCCTGCATTCACTATATCTGGTCTCCCAGGACCCCGCATTCACTATATCCCTATCTCCCAGGACCCTGCATTCACTATATCTGGTCTCCCCGGACCCTGCAGTCACTATATCTGGTCTCCCCAGACCCTGCATTCACTATATCCGGTCTCCCAGGACCCTGCATTCACTATATCTGGTCTCCCAGGATCCTGCACTCACTATATCCTCTCACAGGATCCTGCATTCACTATATCTGGTCTCCCAGGACCTGCATTCACTATTATCTGGTCTCCCAGGACCCTGCATTCACTTTATCTGGTCTCCCAGGACCCTGCATTCACTATATCCGCTCTCACAGGACTCTGCATTCACTATATCTGGTCTCCCAGGACCCTGCATTCACTATATCCGCTCTCCAGGACCCCTGCATTCACTATATCTGGTCTCCCCGGACCCTGCATTCACTATATCTGGTCTCCCAGGACCCCGCATTCACTATATCCTATCTCCCAGACCCCGCATTCACTATATCCGGTCTCCCCGGACCCTGCAGTCACTATATCTGGTCTCCCCAGACCCTGCACTCACTATATCCGCTCTCACAGGATCCTGCATTCACTTATCTGGTCTCCCAGGATCCTGCATTCACTTTATCTGGTCTCCCAGGATCCTGCATTCACTTTATCTGGTCTCCCAGGACCCTGCATTCACTATATCCGCTCTCCCAGGACCCTGCATTCACTATATCTGGTCTCCCCGGACTCTGCATTCACTATATCTGGTCTCCCAGGACCCTGCATTCACTATATCTGGTCTCCAGAACCTGCATTCACTATATCTGGTCTCCCCGGACCCTGCATTCACTATATCTGGTCTCCCACGGGACACACAACATGGAAATGCAATTAATTTATTAAATATAATCTGCTTAATACCTTTTTGTCATCAGCAGTATGTAGCAGTCTTGTGACTTCTATCACTGTCCAGCTGAGCACTGGTTAAAGTTTGTAAAAGGGGTTTTCATTCACCTCTGACTGTCCTATGAGGCTGCATAACCCCTGACCCTCTGTCTGGACAGTGCTGATTGGCCCTGTACTGATCACATGCACACTCCCAAAGAAAAAAAAAAAACCTCTCTAGCAATACACACCAAACTGAGCACGTGCAGAGTGCCTCCTAGAGCTCTGTACTATCAGCAGGTGAATTGGGGACAGCAGAAGAAGGGGAGGATCAGAGAAGACAGGATCAAACAACCTTTTTACAAAATACAGAGTATTAACCCCTTAGCTTCCCCAGTGAGTATAACAAGCATATTTTACTGCATATACAGATTGATTTTACTGTTTTGGGTTTAGCAACACTTTAAGCACTCAGACTTGTACGCTGCATTAAAGTGAACCTACTATGACAATTCTTGTTTACAATTCAAATTTTCATTATGAATTGCAATAGATGGCATTGGTCCTGGCTACCAGGACTGTTGTAAGTGTTGTCACATCATTAGAGACTGGGCTGCCCAAGGCTCAGTGGTTAGCACATCCAACTTGCAGCACTGGGGTCCTGGATGCTATCAGAATGGAATCTGCATGTTTTCCCTGTACCTGCGTGGGTTTCCTCTGAGTACCCCAGTTGCCCCTCTTGTTCCAAAGAAATGCTGGTAGGTTAATTGCTTCCCTGTCTCAACTGGCACTAATATGTGTATGTATGTGAGATAGAGACCGTAGATTATAAGTTCCTTGAGGACAGAAGCGAAATTGAAGGTTACTAGAGTTACAAAAACTCTCCTAAAACAGAATAGAACTTTCCACGATGATGTATTGTAATGTATTCTTTCATTTCCGAGCATGCGCGGTCTAGGTCACTTGATTTTTTTTAACGGACGAATACTGTACTGATCAAACTAAAATCGTTCATTCTGGTATCGTAGGAGAAAAAGTTTTGTGAACCGTCGTGATTGGTTCTCGGATCATTGGATGATCGCTCTGAAAAATTTGATTCTGTCCAATTTTCTCATCGTGTGTACTAGGCTCTAGTTTCTTTGTCTTTACACACCAGCTCTTACCTCTTTGTATAGTGTGCCAGCAAATGGAAACCGAAAATCGACACTGGAATAATCGCTGACTAGCTGGGTATTTTTAAAGGCAACAAGTACTCTTTAAATAGCCACCCCGACCCCTGTGGAGGGTGGACTACAGTCAAGCGCTACAGGCATGCTCTGTACATGAAGTTACTGGAAACACAGCTCATCTGTGTACCCTGCCTAGAAACATCCTCCACACTGTGCGCACACCCACGGAACAGCGACCTCATTCAGTCTGGGACTGGACGGAGCCCTGACAGGTCACCGCAGCCAAGATAAACGGAGAGCATAAATAAACCGCATTCACCAGCAACCAGTGCATAGACACAAGACATTAGCCGAAGGGACACTAGAATCATTATATTTATGTGTTTTCCTCTGTTTACTTTTATGAAGTATAGTTTAAAAAAAAAAATAATTAAATCAAAATTTAATAGCACACTGACCCCAAACATTTTCTTAAGAATCTATTATGGGAGTGG